GATAAATAGTTTTGTTTAATATATTCATTTGATAAACGCCTGTATGATGAACGTCAGATATGAATTCCTGTATTGTGTACTTAATCATGTTGTATTTCATCGCTTTGTGTCAAGTGAGTAGATTTGAAAACGGAACATTTGATGAAAAAACTAACATTGTAATTTTTCAATGAAACATGCACTCAGTCGAAATCAATCGACATTCCGAATTCAAAGGAAGTCAAAAAGATGGCCAAGAAAGCATTTGAAGTGTATAAAGAAATTGATGAGTTAAAAGATGAAGAAGAGAATAAGCTTCTTGAAGCATTCGAAAAATCACCCATCAATCACTGGATTGAATCGGAACCAGAAGTTAATCCGGTAAGAAAATCATCCTCGAACAACAATTTGAAAATTACCATAAAAATGCTCTTTTTAGAATGGGAGCGACAAAGATGAGGTGAATAATACAGATGCCAACGGTACTCTGCTTAAAATTGGATGGAAAGTAACAAAAATGCTAGTGAAAAAAGCCATCGACGCGATTGACTAAATCAACGTCTCTTGCAAAGATTTTATTTAGAGATTAACAAGCATTTACATTTTAAAATGAAAAAACAAATTAAGAAAAAAAAACAAGGTATGAATCATTTAAAGAAAATTATTAAAAATTGACTTTGATCACATGGTGCAAAGTTCGCTTTTCTTACATTTATCTGTCAAAGTCATCACAATCAAGATATGATCATGAGATAATTTTTTATTTTGATTTTCAAGTGATTATCTACCAAAATGCAATGAAAAAAAAATCAGTTACCGTTTTAGAACCGAATGTTTTTTTTTCTTTTTTCAAGCTTTCACCATATTTTCAAATAAAAAACAGACTTTTCGTATTAATTTTTTCTAACAAGATATTTTTTCACAATAATTTGTATGAATTTCAATGTATCGATACAATAGCTTAAAAACAATTTATTTGAAACATGATTCCGACTGGGGATAGTTGCAGCTGCAATCGGCACATCGAATTTCGAAATCGTCTTCGAGACTTCTGAATGCTTTAAAACAACAATCTTCTCCATTGGTAAGGCTGGCCAGAAACTGAATAATGGTGCCAGCGACAATTTGTTTTTGAGCTTCCTTCACCTCTTGTATTTTTATACCTTTGCCAAAACCAGTGACACTTGCTTGTTGAGCTTGCGATTGCAACGTTTTGAATTCAGACTCATCGGAATTCATTGGTTGAAATCCACCAAGCATATGACACCTTACGATTGCAAAAATTGTAAAAATGACAGAGAAAATATTCAGAATACCACACATATTGAAATAGCTTGCTGTACTGACAGTACAAATTGTGTTGAATACAATGATTGTGTCTCTAATTCCATGATATGTTTACACAAATGTTTATCAGTGACCGGTTCGCGGTTTTGTATTTATATGGAAAACTAAAATAACAATTTTGCACCAGAGAAACAAGCAAAAATGTGTGTTGGCGAGCGAAGCGAGCCGAAATTTTGCAAGTTTGACTTCAAAATCAGTGAATTTTTGCTATTGTTTATACATTCATATAGCAAGTATGAGAAAAGAATTCTCAGAGGGGGTCAAACCGGTAAATCTCCTAAATATTTACCCGGGGGTAAATTTTGAAAAATTTGCCTCAAGTGGGGGTCAAACCGGAAACCCCCCCCCAGCGCGCATGTGTGGCGAGAGATGAGCGCAGTCAATATGATTGTATTGTGACGTCACATATCTTACAGAAAAACGCCATCTGTGTAAAACAGGCTTACTACAATGTATAGCGAGGGTAAGGAGATGAAGAAGAAGGGGAAAAAATATACGTTTGATTTACATTTTAGTCTTATCTTTATTTCTCCTTTAGTCTCTTTTCAATTTTACGGAAATGTTCCCACACATTTTTATCATCAACAGATTGACAATGTTTTTCAATCATTTCTAAATATCTCTTTTTTTCAAGGCAAATGACATATACTCGCTTTGGATGACATTTTATGGCCGCCAATTCATTAAATCTAACTCGAAGTGTCTCTAAACTGTTATTAAAAACCCTTGGATATGAAGTGATGTCTTCTTTTGTGAAATGTGTCTCGTTGAGCAAAAAGTCCAAGTGTTTTTGAATCTAAAATCACATGAACTTTAAGTTTTTAATTTGGGAAATGCTTTCAGCAAAATGCTTACTTTTATGATGTTGCACTTTACAAGTGTCGGACAACTTTTCAGTGCTTTTTGTGTCGTTTTTCTATCCCAATCCAAATGTTTGGCCAAATATTCTATTGCATTGCTACAATCGTCCAATAAATCCTTTTGTTCAGCGTGTCGTTTGATTATTCTATAAAAAAACGAACTATTAATTTCTTTTTTGATCAAACCTACGTAATTGGTAACATACGTATTTAGTTGTGACACCGTACATGTGAGCATCCATGAAGATATCGATTCAATTGAATTAGTTTTCAATTCGTTTAAACGATTTTCAATTTTATTCAAATTCATTCGAAACGTTAAGGGTGAATTCAAAATGCTATTTGGTTCCACATTAAAGGCGAGAAGCATGTCCAATTTTCGTTGTAACATTTGTGGATCACGCAAGAAAATTATTGGATTTTTGGCGAAATTCGATGAAATGATAGAAGGTTGAACCTATAAAAAGAACATCGATTTCAAATTAAAAGTTACCGCTGTGAAAATACCATATTACGCTCTACCTTCAGTCTTTCGCTGAAATAGTAAATTGGATTTTCGCTATACTCGTATAGTTCCTGTCCCTCTAGTGTCTTTTTGAATTTCTCCAGTTCCGTTTTGTCGACACAAATTAATGGTAAAAAGTCATCAATGTGCCTGGGGTCCATATCATTGAGTATGTGCATTTTTTGCTGCAATTGTTCTGTAAAAAAGAAATACTTTTATATTCAAATCGCTTTTTGATATTGTGAAGAAAAAAAAACAAACCCAAGGGCATGGTCAATATTATCGAATTCCCGGTGAGAATTTCCAATGAAACACCATGAGACCTCAAATATTCAATATTTTCTTTGGCTCTATCGATTTGATCAAAACTGGATATTTGTTCATAATAAATGTGCGCCGCTTCTTCGCTATCACATTCAAGAAATTCATTTAGCTTATTCTCAATTTCAATTTTTCGAATACATTTTGATTGAATTTTATCCTCGTTCTCATTTCTTTCTCCCGCCAGTTCTTTGGACCAATGTTTTTGTTGAGTTTTTCTCAAATACATATCAAAAACGTCGTCAGCACACTTGAAAAACCAAATCTTTACATCTTTTATATGTAACGACATTAAACGCTCCAAACGCGAAATGTAGACTTCTTCGGATCGATCTAGTGCGTATAGTGATTTCAAAATGGTCAGCGGTTTTATGTTGTAATCTAATAAAATTTGTATTTTTCTATCGATACTGTCGAATGGTGCAACGAGCGAATGCCTATTCTTCACACAATATTTAGCAACGACATTTGGTTCAATCTGAAAAATAAGACACAATGAATGATACAATTTATGATATGGATAAGTGTATTGCTTCGGCTTACTTTTAATTTTTGACTAAAATAATAAATTCGATTGCCACCTGGTACCAAGAGCTCGTCCTTGATCATTGAATCAATGACGTCTTTCAGTTGCTCTTCTTTCATTTCCAACAATGGACTAATATCATTGATCATACTTTCGGTCAAATCGAGCGTTTTTATAATATCCAATCTCGTCTGGAGAACATCTGCGATTAAAGGTTTTAATTGATTGTTAGTGTTGATGAGAAAATAAATTGGGAAAAAATGTATGTTTGCACCTTCGGTCATAATGAGTAAAAACGGATTTTCAATTAGTGTTTCAGATGATATGCCATTCTTCATTAAAAGTGTTATGTTACATCCAACAGAGTCAATTTTTTCGATTGCACGAATCGATGGAAAGCGATCATATATACTAACTGCTTTACTCTCGGTACACGCCAAAAGTGTTCGCAGTGCTTCCAACACATATTTCATGTGCGGTTCAAAGGCAAATGACTTTTTTGCCCGAACATTTTGTACGGTTATTAAATCAACCCATGACGATTTCGAATGATGCCACATATGCACTTGAAACTTACGAAAAAATGCCGATTTCGTTATGTTTAACATTATTTCTTATATCATTCTATTCGGCGTCTAAGTTATTTGTGTTTTTTCACGTGTGACGTCTATATCTGTCAATGTCACAACAATAGTGTGAACATAGCTGCGATTCAAAAGCATTAGAATTTCGCGTTAATTTAAAAATTTCATCCACAAGCAAAGCTTGTCAAGCATTACAAATACACAAAAACTTCACAACGAATTATGAAAACCATAGATATTTCCAAGAATTCTCATTTTTTAAATTTATCTATTTTTTTATCTATTGCATTTCGGTCAAAAGGTTAAATGATGTCAATCGCATGACGAACGATGACAATAACAAGGCCAATGTAGCGTAACTGTGTCAAATTTTGTAAAATACTGATGTTCAATGACAATATTCGCATTGTTTTATTGTAATATCAGCGAAGCATGAAGAGACTCACAAGCACTTGCCCATTTTAAATACTGTATAAATATTATCACTCCCGGAAATTAATTTAATATTCTACAAATGTTGTTTACATGAAATAATAATTTGTTGGTCAAAATTTCCATCAAATTCGTTTCGACTTCCACTTGCATTAATTAAAACTGAATGACCTGATAGACTTTATGCAAAAAATAGACATTGTACCCAGAATGTAATTGACTCAAAGGCAATGCGTAATATTCCGCAAAATCATACATTTGCTTTAGAAATAGAGTTAGAGTGAATTGACATAATCAAAAAGGAAATAATTTGCGTTTATTACAAGAAACGAATAGGCATGAAAAGAATAAAGAATAACGACTTCATTATTTTTTATGCATCTATTCATCCGCTTTGTGAAAAAATGGTGGCATTTTGGCCGTTTTTTACCATATATAAATGTGCGTGAGGTGTGGTTTGAATCAGTTAGCTACAAATTGTTTGATCGTTTAAAGCTTGTGCAGTTCTTTTTAAAATGAAGTTTTTAGTGGCATTTTGTGTGTTTGGCGTCGTTGTCTGTGCTAATGCTCAGATCTTTGGTCGTGGCGAACCACAACGTGGACATGGACACATGGTATTTGAGAGAAATTAGTAAAATTGGTTAAATAATAAAAAAATGAGATATTTCTTCGGGCATATTGTTTAAAATCGACAAAAATTTCTGTTGGAAATTCATAAAATGTTTTGTCCACATAATAATAAATATTTGTTTTAGCCGCATCAAAATTCGGATCAAGAGAGAAGAGCCCAAGAAATGGTTGGCAGATGTCAACGCAAAGAATTAGCGACTGAAAGTGATATGTCCGAGTTTTCGCAACAGAAAAAGCCAACGACAAAAACCGGAAAATGCTTGCACGCTTGTCTCATGGAAACAGTTGGATTGGTATACATTACACTTCTTACTATGATTGATTCGTTTTTTTAAATATTGCTTCATTTTGTTCATTTCAAGGTTTCCAATGGAAAGCTATCGGTAGAAAAATCGGTTGAGTTTATGAGCCGCATGGCACATGGAAATAATGAATTAGTTAAAATTGTTAGAGAAATTTCGGAAAATTGTGAAACCATTACTGATCCAGATCGGTAATCGATGCACCTTCTATAGTTCTTTCTGTTCTATGTCAAGTAAAGTATGTGTTTTACTAATCTTTTGCCGATTTTTGTGTGCTTTCAGCTGTGAGCTGGCATTCAAAATTATGGAGTGCACAGAAGAGGGAATCCAAAAGCGACAAGACGAAATGCGAAAATTTATGCCAAGACAACAACAAGAATTTAACCATTGATTTTACCTTTTTTTTAATTGAACATTCCATTCTTTGTACAATAAAAAAATTAACAACAATTATCAATAATATCGTTTAACATGAAAATTTCATAGCTCTTTTGGATCTAAACCCAAATTTTTTGCGCCGTCATGAACACATTTCATAATTTGATAGGCAAGTTCGCATCTAAAATGAAAGAAATCTCTAAATACCAAATGAAGTGATTATTCAAACTTTACCGAATCAGTTTACCGTTGAAGTCGACAATCTTGAATTTTACAACTATATAAAATTTGGCGTAAGACTTTCTTTTTCGTTCCATCAAAATCCTGACCATACGTAGACAGTTTTATGTATTGATCTCGATAAAATCGTTTGTATCTGATCTGCAAGTTTAATGAAATGCACATTATGTTCATCATTTTATTTCATCTTTATAATGATGATATACCACATGGAAGCTTTCAAGCCAACAGGCAACAAAACACTTTTCCGTTTCTGTGGTTGGTAGAAAGTTATTTTCAATTTGTTCGATATCATAATCCGTAACTCTCTCTTTGATTTTGCAAGTATTCATTGCATATTTGAATATAGCTTCAAAATTTGCATCACGATTCTGGAGTTCAAATTCGGTGCCTTCAATCTAAAATAAAATGTAATAAATCTTACAACTTTTCAAACAATTAGCAAGACAATATATGTATACACTTTTCACCGAATGAAAAAAACCAGTCACTAAAATTACAATCAAATAATAATGAACTACACATTTTGCCATTGTTGGATGGAATGACGTGAAATTCAATGCTTCCCCAACGTTTTTAATTTGACGAATAAAAAAGTTATAAACTAATTACCTTTTTTTGAAAACAAGATAGATTATATCGATCATGCAAAAGCATGCAAGCAACCAATTTTTGTGGATAAGTATCGAAAATCACAAACAATTATTAAAATTGTCATTTTCTTCCAAGCAATTTAGGCGATAGACACGGTCCGCGGGCTTTAGTATTGCTAATTTTTCTTAATTTTTTTTTACTTAAAATCATATAACGTGTACATTTGAACGTCTTTTTCGACGTTAGTTTTGCGATACAATATTCGATGCACTTTTCATACAAAAGTCACCACAAAAATGTGGATTTTTGTATGAGAGGTACCCTTCATTCGCATTAAAATTTCTTTAAATTTAGTGAGAATATTTATTTTGGCAAGAAAATAAGATTCACGATGATTAAATTACTGCAAACAAAACTAACTTCCAAAATTCGCCACCTCTATACGATTTTTCAAAAAAATCATAACAAACCTTTTTACACCATGTCGCTATGAATGATATGAATGTCATTCGTATTTTATGCAATACCGTCAATTTGAGTTATTTCTATATATAAACTGTATACAAACATCTGGAATATTTGTGAACCATAACCACGTTATGACAGTTCATACTTTTGCAAGGTAATATTATTATATGTTATGTTATAAATTAACTCATAACGCATATGATTCCGCCACTTTATTTGTCCAAATTTTGACCTAGGACTTATTGAAAATAAATCAAATTCCAAGCTGCTGTTTTGCAAACATTAAATTCATATTTTATTGGGAAAATTACAGGTGTGGTTCAGTGCATAGCAAATAGATTTTTTTTTTTTTTGTTACGAATTATTTGGTCCTCAAAAGTTATTGTGGTCCTAAGCCATTTTCTTTTGATGCCTTGTGCAAGCATTCTCCCAATTTCAAACCCGCCTCTTTCCTAAAGTGGAATAAAAACAGTGACATTTTAAATCTCAGTACCAAGTGTTTGATAGCATTGAAGCACTAACCTTTCTGCTTCCTTGTTTTCAGTGTTACATTTCTGGCATGATTGCATCATTTTTTCAACTTTATCTGCATGCATTTTTCTTTCTTCGGCTCCCTTTTTCATCACATCACATTGTAGTTCGTACGTTGCACCATTTTTCTTCATCTGTATGTAATTGAGAGGAAAATCATACTGTCCGATTCTATTTAAATTCAAGTTTTATTACCACTTCCATTTTATCCATAACACATCCTGGCATGCATTTTCCTCCCTCAGAACTCGGCAATTCTTCCTTCAAAAGTTTTCCAACATCTTCGTCCGACGCTTTACATTCTTCTTTGCATTCTTTTCCAATTTCCATCAATTTCTTCTTATCTTCATCAGTCATGTGCCCCTAGAATAATGTATAAATTAATATTCTCTTATGTAAACTTTTAAAAAAATAATTCAAAATACACACTTGCACCGCCAAAATCAAAACACAAACTAATCCAACAATTTTGAGCGAATTCATATTGGCAGATTTCAGTTTTTTTATTGAAATATTTGAAATGGATGAAATTTAGTTATTTCTGATTAACTACTGAATCACTTGTGATGTTTTCAGAGCAGTGAATTGCTCAATATATAGCAAAACTTCTACTGCAATCATCGGGTTCGGGTTGGCGTGAAATAATTCGTGATTATCTATGTGTTTAAACCGGAAGTATTGGTGCACACCAATTGATAATATGCATATAAAGATAAGCATCGTATGCAATTGGCTTTGTCTCATTTTACAATCAATTCAAGTTGAAATTAAAATCTGGATACGCCTTTTTTGGATTAATGATTTTTTGATATAGATTTTGTCAGCACCTTCATGATAGGTTCTTTTTTGCGAGAAACAAAAAAAAATCTATTTTAACTGATTTCATTGAACATCCGATGCTCGATTTATCGGGTTTTTCATTGATATTCACAGACAGTTAATCTGATTTCATTTTTTATTAACTGCTATTGAGGACAGAAATTGAAGAAAAGAAAAACCTTTTTAGCAACATTTTTTTATTTTAAATTTTGTTTCAAATACCATTTTACAACTCATAGAATAAAGCTTTTTAAAGGAGCAACCTGACTGTGGGCAACATACATTTAATATTAAGATCGATTAATAATTTCTTCATAAATTGGACGACAATCAAATTTAACATTGAGTCGTGAACAAAGCAAAAATACACCAGATAATTTACGATGTATCGAATAGATTTCCTCAGGAGGAGGACATAGTCGATGTGCAATCATTGTTGGGACCAGATTAGCGATGCGTTTTGTTTGACTCTGTTTGCCAAAATCAAATTCACCATCGTATCGAAACATTTCGCCCAAGATCATAGTTGCATTCACATGGGCCTCCTTCATTTGTTTCGTTTCATAACCTGTTAAAAATTGCATTTTTTGTGATAAATTCAAAACTTTATCAAAATCATCAGCGACCGCAGCACGAATAATCTCTTTGTAATTATTTATAAATTCGTCCGTGTAAAATCGTGTTGATCCAAAATCGATTAGCATTAATTGTTTTGTGTTGACATCGTACAGGAAATTCGACCAGTTTGGATCTGTTTGCATGCATCTCAATTCGAAAAGTTCACGAAGACACAATTTCAATACGGATGTTCCAATGATTTTCCGATGCTCTTCACTATAAAATAAAAACCAGATTGAAAATGATAAAAAAAATTTGCCATTCGATGATTTTCAATTTTCTTACCTGAGATCAAAGCATTTATCCAACGGTATTCCGGGCACAAGTTCAGTAGTCAAAATGCTTTTCGTTGTTAACTCCCGAATGACTTTTGGTACTCGATATTCCTTGTGAACAGAAATCATTTCACCATATTTCTCCGTATAGTTAGCCTCACGCAGATAGTCAACTTCCCATACAAGTTCACGTTTGGCCACTTTAACAACGTTATCGATAAAAATGCCGGGTGGAAAAACGTCCCACACCTTCAGCATACCAACCAAGTTATCGATATCACTTTCAATGCTCTTTGCAACACCAGGATATTGAATTTTAATCGCAACTTCCATGCCATCTGGTAAAATACCACGATGAACTTGGCCAATACTTGCGGCTGCAAATGGTTTATCGTCGAATGATTTGAATTTGTTGCGCCAATCGTTTCCGAATTCATTTTTCAACACTTTTTCGACTTGCCAATCGGGCATATAATCGGCTGCTTGACGTACACGATCGAATGCTTTTGCCAAATGTGGTGAAACAATCGTTGAATCTTGTATACTTAGAATTTGACCAAGTTTTAGCGCCGCTCCACGAACACGACACAACGTGTCAACAATGCGTTCAGCATTTTTTGGACTAAAAAGTGCCGATTTCATATCTTTTGAGCCACCCAGTCCCAAAGCACCCTTTGTCAATTCATTTACTGTGCCCAAACCAAGACCAGCAAACAATGTGCCAAATGTGGCCATTCGTCCGATTCGCGATGAGGGTACTTTGCGCTGCTTAGCTACCGCACTCAATACTGGTAATTCAATGGGTTGTGCTTCCGATTGTGGCTGCGGTTGAGACGACACTTTTTGTGCCACATTCTCTGGTTCACTTTTTGGAGTATCGTCCGATTGCGCTGTCACTGGTTTATGCTCTGCTATGAATTGCATCCATTCTTTTACATATTTCTCGTCATTTAACAATTGCTTTGGGTTGACGGTTGAACTCGGCTCACCGCCAAAATCAATTGGTGGCTCATTTCGATTGGCCTCCGGTTCATTTGAATCTTTTTCATCTTTTTTATTATATTGATTCGAAAGATATTGCTCTAGTTCTTTTAACGTGATTGCCGATATATCCAATTGACCAGCACTTGTAACCGTGTTCATAACTTCCTTCGGTTTATTCGATATTTCGTTAATCTTTTGCATTGTAGTCGATTGCGATACACCAAAACGATATAAACTTTCAGCTACAACACTTGATCGTTCCACAGTTTCTTTTAGGGCATTTGCAACATCTTCGAATTCTTTGTTTGGATTCGTAGTTATTCGATTTGTGAAGTGCTTTGCTTGTTCACAATTACTTGAAATTACATCGCGTATACTTGAGTTTGACCATAAATGTCGCAAATATTCTTCATTTGTTCGCACTGAGGCCTTGGCAATCAGCTGCAATCCCTTCAATAACGCCAATGTATCCTTGGTTCGAGACATTTTCACTAAAAATTAAATAACATTTAGATAATCATTGATTACATCATTCATAATTCAGTATTATATGTGCCTACCTTTGAATTGAATTCAATCGCAATTTGTTCACACAATGGACTTTGATCGTTTAGTGATTTTTTTCACTAAGTTTTGTTTGGCAAACAACAAGCAAACTATTTCTAAACTATATCTGTATAAATAAAACAATTTCCTTGATATTATATGTTTGCTGACTGTTTATCATATGATTGTACAGTGTTTGAGGTTAGGTATTCACATGACATGACTGTCAGCTGTCAAAACATTTCATTCAATTCATTCGATGTTTTTTCTTCATAGAGTCGATGTTTTTTTTTTGAATTGAATGAACTTCAATGGAATGAATTTTATTCAACTGATTTATTGATATTTTGAGCAAATTATTGTATCATATGTTGTAAGCGTTCTTTTAATTGAGACCAAAATAAGGTTGCATTCAAAAAATAAAAAATCGATAAAGTGTCACATTAAATTACATAATAATTAAAGATTGGGGCAATGCTGTAATCGAACGATTTATTTCGATTTTTATTTTGCATCACAAGCGATACGAACAAAAGTGTGAATGTAATGAATATGACCTTATGATTGTATGGAATGGGGATAAAAATAACAGTGGTCTGATTCGAAGAAAGTAACTGTCTCAAATTGGATCGTATAACGTGTAGCCAAATTGGTTATACCCACTCGTTTATGGCATTTTAATGTGATACCTGTATTTAAATCCAATTAAGATACTGGATTTATGCAATAAACAACAATTTTTTCCAACAGATATGATTCGCAAATTTTATAATCTCCAAAATCTAGAATTCACTTTTAAATCCAATGAAATTATAATCAAATCGTTAAATTTCGTTTCTTAAATTTGTTCGTCGGTCATTTCTCTGGTTTCGACTTCAACGAATGCCGATGTGATGTAATACAATTACATATTATTTGAACTACATTTTTTTATTGCGCTGCATACATCATTTTCAAGATCCGCCAAAGGATTTTCCGCATCAATTACGCGAGTATTTGATTATTTTGCAACGGTTTTATGCACACGATTGCATCAAAAATCGAGTTGATTGAATGGGAATCGTAAAACAGTGTACGATTGCTCTTTTGTTGAAAACGCTTGCGCTTCGGTTAGCCAACCAATCACCTTCATTTTCTTGATTTTATTGCTCTTTATTGGAAGATCAACTGCTTCGAATATCGATAACGCTTTCCATGTTGTGGATTTTCACAGAGCCGCCTCTATCTCTATTTTGTTTTCTTCATTTGATATTGCTACTTTTTTTTCATCTCGAAAACGTTCAATTAAAAACATTAAAAAAACACTTCCTTACATAAATTTATGGATCCGATTAAATCTTATGATTTTTTTTCTCTTTGCTTCACATAAAGCATTGCCTGTTACAGTTATACTTTCATTTGATCGGGCGGTGAATAGTTGAAATCATATCATTGAACGAAGATTCGCGGAAAAATATGTTGCTTTGTTTTTATCTCCACGTTCCACGACTAACTCATGAACGGCACTCAATCATCACAGCTCAGCCGCCAACTTCAAAACAAATTAAATAATTGCCAGTTCTTTTCTCTCTATTTGATATGCTTTGGGTGATGGCATTCTGTCACACAGCCATGTCTCGACTGTATGTTGTAATTTCCAGTCAGACTTACTTTCATCGGTGAACCAATTTTTAAGTTCAATTTCACCTCAGTTTTTCTTGTCAGATTTACGCGTGGCTGCCGAGGTTTAGCTTGAAAAAAGAAGTCTGCTGAAAATGACTATGTTCTTTAAATGAATGGCTATTATTTTACATGACAACATTTAAATTTATATGAAAAGTCACGGTTCCATAGTCAACGATATGATCCATACCATGTGCACGTGATGTTATATCACTGACATAATATGCGTCTAGTAGAAATCGAAATCGATCGAAACATGACAATTTTTTCAAATTCAGCAAGTGGACACTTCCGTAATAGATTCTGTGTTACGAAATTGTGCATTTTCTTTTAAAAAAAAGCCTGCATAATGTGTTTGGCGACTTTAGTTTTCGCTCAATTTTAATATGCCGAAGAACGAAATTTTAATATAACATTTTCGTTGGAAGATTTCTGATGTAAATCGTGTCGGACAAACCAGTTCTTGATTTAATGTATATGATCTATTGTGTTATTACGAAGGCTTCGGCGAGACCGAAATACGAATTTTAAACAATGACAATTATTTCTATTTGTGTTACCGTCCAATTTTGGATGTCGCTTGAATGAACGAAGAATTATTTTTTTCCGACGAAATGATCATCGTTGTGACCGTACTAGAAGCAAATAATGAAGAGGTTACAATAAAAATTGGCACTTATTTCGAGTTTGTGTGACCCAAAGTCAAGAGCAGGTACTAGATAAAAATGACATTACACTCTCAAGTCTCAACGCAATTAATGCATATTAAATCGCAAAACTGGCGACGGCGGTTAAATATTACTCAATAGCGATTGCCAATTCAAATCGAATAAAAGAAATACGTTTTCCGAAATATATATTTTTTTTTTAAAGAGAAAAAAAAAACGGCCGGTGCAATTAATGCTCTATTCCATGGAATGACAGTCGTTGCTCTGAAAATAAATTTACCGAATGAGTGATTGATGGTGTTGTATACCGATAATGAATGTTTCTTTCTAAATGAATCGGATTAAAAATTCACAATAAAAAAAGAGCATTTACTTGGAATGAATCGGAGGAGATGAAGAGAAAGAAGAAAACAAAAATCGCATGAAATCATGTGTTCACGCAGCTACAATGCTAGCCAGCTGTATGCTATATTATAAAACCGTGACGTCAGCATAGGGTTTTTCATTCGTTTTGTTTTGTTTCGTGGCAAAACAATGAAAAAAGCAGCACAGATTTGATATGAATGAAAGCGAGAATCAAAAAACACAAATAACAAAACATAAATCGTGGTAATTTGGTAAAAGGCCCATTCGATAACAGCTAAAACTATAAAAGCCCTGCATTTTTGGTAGTTCAACATCATTGCCATTTTATCAGTGAATAAGTGAACATCGTGCCGCTGCTGCTGCTGTAATAAATTCTGTTTTTGTTTCTCTTAAACTCAGTTGTGTCTCACTATTATCTTGTGATTTAAATTAACAATGAAATTAACGGTGAGAATGTGCATTTTTTTTGTCTTCGGCTTATTTTCTCTGTGCTTTTGTTGTTGTTTGATTTGAAAAGTGTGGGAGTTATTTGATCGTTCAGTGTTTTTAATTGTGTTTAATTTGTGTTTTCTAGATCGTTGTTTGGTTAGCCGTAGTTAATTTGTTGGTGTCTGCCGATGTGTCGAGTGATGATAATGTATCGAAAGGAAAAAGAGAAGCACCAATGGCGGAACCGTCACAAGAATATTTACCACCACGATTAGAAGCACCGTATGCTACATTTCAACCGATTGTTGTTCCGCAACATTCTTATTTTCGATCGACATCATTCAATCAACCCCAAACAGGAGCTCTTCAAGCTCCAGTTGCGCCGGCATACGAATACAATCGATTTGCTGGCGTGATTCCATTGCAAACGGTGGAAAATAATGATCTTGTTGACAATCAAGGACAGTCGTATAATAATAACCAAGGATCATCATATAATAATAATCAAGGACCGTCGTTCATTAACCAAGGATCAGTTTTTAACAATCAAGTGCCGTCATATAACAATAACCCGGGTCCACCATATTACAATAATATTTACGGAGTAAGTGGTGCATATACCGAAGGTAGTTCATACGGTGGTGCAAATTCATATGGAAGTTTCATAAAATATGGTCAAGGTTCAAACATCCCAACACACTACGGGTCATCAAATGGATTGGGCCAAAGTTTAAATGTATATACCGGTGGCAATGGATTTGAAAATAACGATCAATATTCAACCATTAAAAATAGTCAATACGGTAACACTGGTTCAAACTACGAAAATTCATTCTACGGAAATCCATCGTCAGGCTCAGCAAAATACCCATCGTCGGCAACACTTTTGTCCAATCAACCACCATCTTATGCATCAGGCGTCAAAGGCTTGGGTCACTACACACAAACAAATCAAATCTCCAATTTGAATACACACACACCACTGAAAAATAGTCGCCCGATTGCATTACAACCAGCCCATTTGCAACGCAAACAACCCTCATTCTTAACCGAACCAACAAAAAATCCAAACTTTCGTCCATCATTTCTCCTGGGATCGCAAATTTTGACCTCAACACCTGATTACGGTTTAAATAATGCTTTAAATCAACCGACATTGACCTCACTTGGGACCAACAATCAATATATACCACCATCAACCCAATCAATTCCCCAACAATATACAGCGCCACAAGCGTTGGCACAATTGCCACTAACACAACAACATGAATATTTGCCACAATCTACGCCAAACTTTCTGAATAGCTATCAATCATCTGTGCCGAATTCATTTGGATTGCCCGAGACAGTAATTTACACGAAATCGTCATTGTACGGCGAACGATATGGTGCAACACAGTAATCAGCTGCATTTGATCATAGCCAAATAATATTCGGTTATCTTTTTTTTTTGTCGCCATTTAGATCGTTTCGAGAATCCATGAATCTTATTTATTATATTGTTTAAACAAATAAATTAAGTCTCCGACATTTTATCGAGCGAAAATAAATAAATGTACAAAATACATGTAATTTTCCAAAATTCCTTCAGGTGATTTTATTCTGGCTACCAGTCGCACGCATGCAAAACAAAATGGTCGACCAAGTGAAAATCAGCATCAATCAATTCAAGCAGAAAGAAAAACAAACAACAAAAAAGGGAAAATGTTGTTGATTAATTCGTTGATGTTGTTGAATTTATGACATTCTTTATACATTCTATTGCTTTCTATCTGTCCATTCAACGCAACAACTGATCCCAATACTCGTGAGAGATGAATATACTTTTAATTGAATAGCAAAGCATAGCGTATGTCGTCGTCAACTTGACTTGGCTCTCTTCCATTCCATTTATCTACAATTAAAAATTCATTTGCGGCCGCGTGCACGTCGACTAACCACAGAATCAAATGGCAAATACTTTGCATAGAGATTTGTTGATCACATTGAAACGTGATAATTTGTAGGTAATCATGCGACGCGTAACATGCATATTTATTAACGAATTGCAATTGGATGGCCGCGATGATGACATCGTTAACCATTTTCTAATTGAATTCGTTCGAGTGAAATTCAGTTTGGTAATAATATATTGCAAGAAACACGACCACAATCTATTTGCTCCAATAATATTTATTTTTGTGGTGTAACCAGACTGTAATTGGCTTGTTTGCGAAACCAAATCCATTTGTTATCATCAGACATTGAAAGCTCTTGCATCTTGATGGATTGAAATCTTTATTTGAATCAATTATATAAAGATGAAAAACTGATGATGATCGTAGTCAATGATGTTGACCTCAACATTGAACTTACTTGCAGAATATGATTGACGTCGTGTTTGTTTTGTTTTACAAATGTCAATCGCACTTTGAGATGAACATAAATTTCTCGACTATTTTATTGAGTTCGATTCCCATTTCCAGCGATTTAAAATTCACATTTTTGTTGCGCTTTTTTCCCTGCGATTTTCATTTTAATTATATTATTTTAATTATACTGCGCCGCTTTTGGTGCGTCAGCATTCCTTTCACGCTGTTTTAATCAGAGCTGCGATGAATGAGATGCAAACAATTAAATGCATGTTTCTTCATCTTTCAACTTACTTTTACCCTGACATGATTGTTCATGAATACAAATAAAACTAAACATACCGAAACGAATCGAAATATAATTGTGAGTAAGCATATGTCTTGGAATTGACCGAAATTAAATTATTTGTATTAAAAAAAATAAAGATAAAAAATCTGTAGAAGAAAGCGTCGAGCTCGAGAATGGAAAAAAGAATGTGATTAGACTTTCTCCTAATTGGTCATATTTGAAATGGACGCTGCGCATAAAGTATATTAAAATTACCAATTTCGTTTTCATTTCGTATTTTTTCTTTTCAATGCTGTAGATTTCTTTGTATCGTTTGAATGACTTTATTTCCCTATCTTTCTCTGGTTTGCAACGCGAATAAAGATTTGAATAGATGCAATCAGTAACCAATACGCGTACCATTCACACATCGAAATCCGATCATTGAACAATGGTAATTTCCGATCGCAAATGTAGCTATACCGATCAAAAAAAAAAAGAGAGATCGACGTCGAAATACACAAACAAGAAGCAAATAATGCTAAATTTAATTTCCGATACTTCATCATTGCAATTTCAGTTCATCATTTTACAATCAATTGTTTATCATGTGCAGAATTGAGTGGCCGTTTTCAGTGTGCACGTGTTACGGCATATTCAACAGAGAAGAAAAAAAAAGATTACAGAATGCGAACGGTAAAACAAGAAACGAAAGCGATCGATTGCATGTGGAAAATATATATCAATTGAGATCATGATCATGAACATGAATTTAGCTATCCATATCAACGTCGATAAAAACGCTCATACTCAATATAACGAGGTAGAAATAAAGCAGCAGCAACCACAACACTGATGATGAAGGTAAGAAAAACAAGTTCAAATCGAAAGTGAAATTAAATGAACGGATTACGTACGGTGCAAAATGTGATCGCTGACAATTCGATGCAAGTAAATACGGTAAATTCAGTTTTCGAAAAAATGCACAAAACATTGGTAGTACAGTTAATAAAACCAAATTGTGCATGTATATACATCGTTTCGAATCACCATTTCTTCATTTTTGCTCGCATAGGATTTCGTGAGAAAATCTACACGATTCCGGAACAGTTTTTTTTATTAAATTTGCCATGTTTGACAAGTTATCAGAATTGAAAATTATAAAATAATAGCAGTGATCAAATGTTTTTCATTGCTTCTCCGATCGAAATCGCATTATGTAACATTGGTTCATTGACACTGCACCTTTTTGACACTCCAAAAGAAGTATGATTAAGATTAAAACAAGCGACGGCCGTACTAAATGGCCGCCGGTAACGGTGAATACCTTCAGATCACCGTCTTTGCATTCGGTTTGTTCACATTACACACGCAGACGAAAATAATAATAACAATAATAAAAATGAAAATTATATAAATGATGGAATAAAAATGGTGCATTTTCAACGTTGATTCACGTAATTAATGCATCGAGTATACTCTCTTTACATGCTCACACTCACACCACATATTCAAGGCATAAGCGATTCGGCGGTTGTTATTCGTATACGTGCATCGCGATATTGGAGATACAAAAAAAAATCATGGCATTAATTCGAGAGCAAATTGAAAAAAAAAATCGACATTCGATACATTTCCACACGATTTGTCGACAGTGCATTCTATCAAAAAAGGATTGCATTCACTCTTGTTTATTCCCATTGTTATCAATTTATTCACCATTTACAATTCCCGTCAACATTTTGCATTGCCTTGAAAGTGCGTACATCGATACTACTTCCAATAATAACAATCGGTTTTGTTTGTTGTCTTGAATAAGCATTCGAACAAGATACACATCGCGATCATTGAAACGGCAATAAAACCACACATGCACACATATTCACACGACATATACACGCTTACGAGACACACCACCAGATGAGAAAATACCATAAATAACAATGATCATGCTATCTATCGCTACATCTGAAACAAGTTTCAATTGGCTTTCGTTTTCAATCAAGAAATGCGTACGTTCATTAAACGCTGCAACACTATTTTTTTTCTCTTCACTTCACTTGAATTGAAAGAAAATGCACCGTTGATTTACACAATTTAAACAGTGCAAATTTGTTTTCCACCGTCTGTGGTTTTGTGCAAATCTTCCGACATTTGATACGTGTGTACTTTTACCATTTTTGGACACACACATAACAAGCGATTACATTTGTTTATTGAAATGATGCGAAATCGAAACACTCAAGTGCAAATCCAACAACGGTGTTAACAGTGACATTTACAAAGCTTTGACACTTGAGTTGCCAATTTGATGATTCTCCAGATGCAGATTGAATGAGACACAAAATAAAAAGAGATTTCTCTTTAATGTACTGAAAATGAGCGAATCAGAAGTTTCATATCAAAGCTGAAAAGAGGAAGAGCTTCTCGCACAGTTGAATTCATCATTCTTGTGTTTGACGTACACACAACAAAGAAGTGAACGCAAACCAAACCGCGGGCGGCATTTGCATATATAGACATTTTTTGCCACGGTATAATTTTTTTTGCGTATTTTTTTTTGCATACAATTACAAACCGAACATTATGTTGAGCTGCATATCGGAAGTTCGATGTAATTCATGGTATAGGGTTGCGTAATTTTACTTTTTTTATCAGTTCATGAGTAATCTTCATGAATGAAAATTTACGATCAACATTGACATTACGAATGTAACGCAACAAATATAAATATTTGTTAAACGCGACAAAAAAAAAGAGAAGAAACAGTGCAACCGTTCATTGATCTTGTTTGCAACGAGCCTGACAATGTTGGTTTGTCTCGCACATATCATTCCAAAATTGATCAAAACGTGTTCTACGTGCCATGCCATGCCTACGCCATAAAATATGAAAATGAAAATTAAGCAAAGTCGTAATGGTATCCACATTGAAGCGAAAAACTTAGGGAAAAATACAATTAAATACGGTAAATTCATTGAACCCCTACAAAATGTGATTGAATCAAATACCAATCATTCGTATTTGAATATATATGTGTGTTTGCGTTTAGTCACCAATTAAACCAGCAATTCCAGCGCCGTTCGACAACTTGTCGATCGTTGTTTACTTCGAAAAATGTATCGAAGAAAATTATTTTATTTTTTTATTCATTTAAATTAAACAAGCGAAAAGAGAGAAAGAAAGAAAGAAAAAAGTCACACAGGCCAATCGAGTTTCATTAAATCATAGTTGAGCTTTGATGCAATACCACCGCCATTTCTTTTTTCGATTTGTCGGTGCAAGTTTGTCGCTCTTCGACGATGTCTTATTATTGATGTATTTTTGCACCAACACCACCACCACCACCATCACTATCGCCTAATGCAATTGAGATGTGCGCTTGCAGCAATCGTGACTATGCGAATGAATGCGAATGAATGAAACGAGTGCCAAATGTGAAGAGCGAAGCCAAACCATTTTCGATGGCAATTTTGATATCACAGACAACAACAACAACGACGAAGACGACGACTACGATCGTCGCAAATAGAAAACGATGTAGTTCAAGTTCATGCTGGTGTGTGCAACGATAGCGGCTAATGCAATTTTTTCGGTGCAGCGTAAGCCTATATAAAAGACATCGTTGCAACAAGTGCAGCCAGCATTTGATATCGAAACACACACGAGCAACATAGCTCATCAGTCAGCGAAACCAATTTGGAGTTTTATTGCATTTTCTTAGTTGATTTTTATTTTGTTTTAAAGTTTAACGTGTATTCCAACGTGTTTTCATACAATTGAATTGAAGAGCGCACATTTGTTTTCAATTACGGTTTATTGAATTGTGTTGATGTGAAAATAATTTTGGTGAAACGAATCAAGCCAGGAGTTAATTGATTGAAATGAAGAAATTGGTAATGTTCATATAAAAATGATTGAAATTGTGAGATTCATGCGAAACAAAAAAATGCATGTGTTTACTTTCTACTTCAGATGAAAAACGAAACCAAAAATGAAGCAGAAAAAAAAGAATGTTGGAAAATTGGATTTTTTCGTTGTGAAATTCTTTTTTTTTTGCTTGAAAGTGCCACATACTTTTCATAAATTCAATTTTCTTTTCATCATCTTGTGTGTGTTTCTATTTGAATTTAGTTGACGTTGTGCTTTTTAAACTTGGTGTCTTTGGCACTTTGTACAAATAATGTGGCGGATGATACACGTAAAACATCAATTCGATCTGCTTCGACAGCGGTTGGAACGTCTGCTCACCTGAATTCGTTGCAATCTAGTCAGGACAGTGGCGGCAAACAACAATCGCAACAACAAGTGCAAAGTGGAAATGGTCAAACATCGTACACAAGAGTACAGACACCCGAATTTACATCGATTACTCAACCACACAATGTTTACACACAACCAACATCACCAACCGGTGGATATTTCATTTCAGTTAATCCACAAAATGTTCCTTCGGGCGGTATTGGTGCAGGTAAAATTGCTTTGGCATGGAGAAAAAAAAACAATTAATTCATTTCACTTTGCTGAGTCGTTTGTTTACAATTAAACAATTACAAAACGATTTATTCATCGATGGTGATTAATGAAGCTTAACGCTAATTAATTAAAAAAAATACTTTTCAGGTCCGACGCCAGTATTAATGCAATATTTACCTCATAATGCGCAACAAGGCCCAATTCAATATCTTCAATTGTAATGAATCGATTTATTCAAACAGTCAATTTGATTTTAATAAGCTTTTACGTGAATATTTTTTTCCAGAATTCCAACGCGTCCGTTGATAGTTCCAATCAGTCCTTACATATCGGGTTTTAATAATCCGTATAGTCCATCTGTGACCGGTCCAGCGGCTCAGGCAAATTCAAATTCACCATATGCCCTGCCACATCATTCATATTCGCAACCGTCAAATGCATACAGCAGCGGTTTAGGTAATGGGTATTCGTCGACATTATCGAATCCGCTTGGAAGTTACTCAAGCAATTATCTAACTTACTTCCGTCCAAATCATGGCATGCAAATGGTGAACGGACCAGTTGATTTGAGTTTGAATACCAATGAATATCTTCCGCTTTCGAACGATAATACATATAAAATGCGAAGAGTATGAAACATTTACATTGAGCATACGGAGACTTAATTGCATGGTGACCACATTTGCCAGCAATTTGATTTGTTAAGTTAGGCATTTATTTGTTATTAATTTTGTTGTAATATTGTGAGACAGTTGTACGTAACAGAGGTGCACTGCCTCCAATCGGATCGATTCATAAGAAGTAGTTAAGATGGAAAAATGATTCGATTTCTTAGAAATTGTCTTACGCACACATATCTGTTTTTGACTGTAAATGTTGATTTATAATAAACAATTACCTAATTAACGGATCAATTCAACACTAACACTGAACAATGTCAACAATACGCAATGCATTGCAAATATTCAAGAAAATATTAGGCGTTTAAATGACAAAAAAGAAGAAGTGTGTTTTATTCTTGTGCTTGAAACATCAATCTATTTATCTAGCTACAAAGAGGTAAGCATTTCAATGAGCAAATAAAAATCTTTTGGAATTAAATGGAAATAAATTAAACTATGCACTTTTCTGGGGCACATCCTTAAGTCGATCACGTATGCCAGTAAAGACACATTGAATGTATGGAGCAGTTTTGTCGCATAAGTCTCTCAAATTGGTCGTTTTCTTTGATTCGCATGTTTTCACAACTGAATTCACCACATCATTGTTATCCGATTTAGTATACATTTGGTTCAAAAAATCTACAATTTTTTTACTATTCAGCTCTCCACCTTCCGTTATCTAAATGAAGGAAAGAAATATTTGTTCATCAAATGTTATCCATAATTTAAGAATTTATTCGACATTACAAAGGGTTGGAAAAGGCAGCAAAAGAGGTTTCTTTCTGGTTCCGATAAAATGTCATCCTGAAAAATATATATCTATCATATTTTTAAACAAAACAACTTAATTTTCAAAATCGTTTCTTTACCGCATATTTACCATCGAGATCTCTGAGTTTATTTAAATCCATATGAGATTCGTCCATACATTTTGATAAGAAACTGCCTTCCTGTTGGAATATTTGTAAAAGTTAATATCAAATTATTTACTGCAATCAAATATATTCTGTTTTGTAATTATTAATCATTTGCTTTGTCGTGTTATTATTTCACTTGTAGTAAAAAAACTTTGTTCAGTGTCAACTGACCAAAACGGAATGTAATGTCATTTCAATTTTGATTAATTAGCTTACCGCTTCATTTTGCGCTTCTAGGGCAGCAATGCACAAGACGCCAGATAATAATAAGAAAATTCCCTTCATTTTTGCACAATAATTATAATGATTAAACCACTGTTTCAATACTTTGATTGCACCAAGTCAACTGATCATTTTTCTCTTGGATTCAAACGCCTTTTATAGGGAGAGAATGATTCGAATCGGTATCGACTTGTCGACAGAAAAAAGACTATTTGATCATTTCGCAGAAATTCTCGAAAAAAGTAAATTAATTGTGCCAATAGAAATGTAAAAAGCTGTGTAAATATATGCTAATGAACAAGCGCTATGATACACTTTCCGCAGAAAATAAACACAACATTTTATTGAGAAGATTTTCGTTTTCTTACAAAAGGTATTATCCAAAGTCATTCTCAATCAATTTCGCGTTAACTTTTGTGAAAACAGAATAAAATAAATATTAATATTTGAACATATATTTTTATTCATTCATTTTACACGGAAATATTCTGCAAAACGTTCGAATACAATTTTGAGGAATATACTCATTTGAATTGAGCTAAAATAAAGAAATTTTTTTTGAGTGATGTGTTATTTTAATTGATATTTTTCCGTAATGGTTTTTTGTTCAGATTAGTTCTGATATTTCTTTTACTAACAATAACGTGTCTACTCAGTCTAGTATAGTTAGTAAATAACTATAGTTGAGTATGCGAGTCTCCGACTATTGTACTGGTTTGAACCATACATGGGCCGTTTTTGTTTTTCAAATATTGCGAAGATAATTATTCGATTGATTAAGGCTTTTGCCCACGTATGAATGTGAAGAAAACAACAATGTAAATAACACTGTTAAGTACTGCGCAGGGACGCCACCTAATGAGGAGCCACATTGGGAATTTGTTTCATAAAGTATTCAAGGGAATTTGTTTCGAGAATTCAAAATTGATTGCATTCATTGTGGGCGTTACATCCGAATCGCATCCGATCGCTGGTTCACTTGTCACCGATGATAATCGAATGAACGATGCATTAACTAGACTGCGTAAAATGATCCAAACAAATCGTATATTAGATCAATATGAAGCGATAATAAGTTATAACATTATAACATACGTTTCCATTTGCAAGCGAATACATTGGCCGATACAAATTGCCCAATAATTTTGATATCGAAGACACCGAAGCATTTCTACAAACGGCAACCATACAAATCGAAGACTTGCGCAAACTATTGAAACAGTCAAAGATTTTGATTGGAAAACACGACCGTGAAATATATCGAAATGTTGAATTTGGCAGCGAAAATTCTTCGACAGCACCACCATTTTATGTATGGAAGAATAAGAATCGCAATTTTAAAAATGAGATCGATAAATTGTTATATTATAAATGTCGATATTACAAAGGGATTGAATCAAAATGCTGTAAAATTCAACGAAATTGGCATTCGGTTTAAAGCCAAAAGCGAAAGCATTCAAACCGAACTGGACAATGAAATGAGCAATTTTGGTGTTACAATGGCCATGATTTCGAATAGTTATTATCAATGTGATTCACGATTTTATTACAATTCTGTCGATGAAAATGTTGTAATAACTTATTACTAATAAGTTATGCGATGAAAAAAGACACGAATGGTAAACAAAGCATGTTGAACGAAGTCTATCATAAAGTTCATGATACAAATTACTTTTTGAGTGCGTACACCATGTGGAGCGTACAATTGATAAAACTTAATGTAACAAACAACGATGAGGACTTTCAACATATGAGCCGTTTTACAAGACATGTTCTGATTAAATTTCAGGAACTTCCATTTATCAAATATTCCTTTTACGCTATTTCTTCCAATTGTTTTTTCATGAATCATACAACTTAATTCTCAATGAATTTGGCCTTTAATTACACAAAAATAGACGCCAGATAAAATACGTGTGCATGTATGTAAGTTTTGTATAAATGAAAAAAAAAGAGAGATAAGACCGATCACATAATGTACACATGTCTGCCAATATTGCGATAGAGTAAATGTAGACGCTTCAATGGTCATTTTTATAAATACCATAGACGCTTAAGCGTGCACACAAAATTATTCAGTCTGAAATGAAGTAGTTATTTTTTATTTGAAAATCAATGGAAAAATGTTGAGAAAATAAATGGTGAAGCCAAATAAAATCAAAGCAATGTATTTTCGTTTGTGTATTTTGTTAAAATTGCTAACATATTGTGTTACAAATGAAATATCTATAAATGATAAACCGCGTCTAATCAACCATGTAACAACCGAACAAGATGGTGCATCAAACAATTCGTCAAAGGTGTCGGCAATATCGATTTTAAAATTTCTACAAACGGAAAGTGAATAATTTCGATTTGGCAAACAAAAAGATATTCCATTAATATTGGGAAATACGAATAGTGGAAAAACAACATTGGGTTTACTATTGACGGATGGTGAGTTGAGTGCGTATGAAGCGGTCGCCGGTTCTGGAATGTATTTAGTTGTTGACAAACAGAATCGAATAAGCAATATGATTTTCATATAAAAGTCATTTGGTATGCCGCTATGATGAAACGAATCAATGATGGAAGTCAATTCATTGACGTATGATAGATTTTTTATCTATAATGTATGATTGGTAAAAATGCCTACTTGAACTATGTATGATTCAGTATACACATACATTCAGTCAATACCATCCGGTCCTTTTTTATTGATATATAAACCAAACAAGTAAGGTGTAACGTCATTTCCTTTATTTTCGTATAAATATCAGTATTCAACAAAAAGAAGCATTAATTTTTTCTAATTTAAAAGTCAGTAAAATGAAAGTTAATTTAGCTAAAATGGAATAGAAAAATGAGGCAAAGAAATCAAATGCATATATTTTTTTATGTCAATGTGATGCCAAATGATTGATCAAATTTTTAATTTATTTCAAAATAAAAAATTAAATCAGTATTAAGCGCTTCCAAACTCTTCCATCCATTTTTGGAATTTAGTAACATCGCTGGCTGACACTGATTTCCGGGTCCGTAGTACTGCATCATGAAAATCTTGTTCCGTAACGGGTAAATCAACTTCTTCTCGTCGAATCTGTTTGATTTCAGCTGGTGATCGTCCGGTTATTTTACGTCTCATTGACATCATTGCCGCATCACTAAAACATATTCAATAAATCATTCGAAAGGGAAACTCATCCAATATAAGTTGACCAACTACTCACCGACACACGTTCGTTATGTCTGATCCAGTGAAGCCGTTTAACTTATCTGATATTGTTTTGGTGTCTAAATGACTAGATAAATTGACACCCTTTAAGCACAGTGCAAGTAAGGCAGTTCGGGTTTCCTCTGCAAATAAACACATGCACAAATTATTGAGAAAAAAAAAATGACGATCAAATTGAACGTAATCTGAAATCGAAATCATACCATCTGGAAGTCCAATGAAAATTCGCTTCTCGAATCGACGGCGAAATGCTTCATCAATGTCCCAAGGATGATTCGTTGCAGCCAATACCATAATTACTTTTTCATCATTCAACGATTCATTCAAACCATCCATTTGAATTAAGAGCTCAGCTTTAAATCGTCGACTGGCTTCGTGTTCGGTGTCTGTGCCACGATTTGCACACAACGAATCAATTTCATCGATGAAAATTGTACTGGGCGCATGAAAACGTGCCATTTCAAACAGTAAACGAACCAATTTCTCACTTTCGCCACGATATTTTGATGTAAGTGTACTCGATGAAACGTTGAAAAATGTTGTTCCACATTCAGTGGCCACCGCTTTGGCCAACATCGTCTTTCCCGTTCCGGGAGGACCGACCATCTACACAAATGAAGAAAAAAATATTCATTTATCACAAAGAATAGCAAAACCAAAATGTAAACTCAAAACTAGAGAGCGATAGCATTTTCTATTCTTGGCTCAGAACTAAGCACAAATAAAACGCCTGTTACCAAAATGCCTTTCCACGGTCGTCGTATTCCTTTGAAAAATTCGGGCATAATAATGGGCAATACAACTGCTTCCTGTAGAATTGCCTTCGCTTCAACAAGTCCAGCAACATCGTTCCATTGTATACTCGGATTACGTTGTAAAATATCCTTTTCCAAACTCTCCACCAAATGTGATTCGTATCCGGTGGTATTGAAAACTTTGACTTTTTCACGAGTTCGAACACCTTTCGGTGAACTATTCATGGAATTTTCTTCAATCGATGTGGCTTCCGGATCATCTTCATTCTCTTCGGAAGATGATTTCTTTGGTTTTTCTTTGAGTTTCATTTTACGCGCACGTGCTCGTTCAATCGATCGACTTTTTCGTAAAGTCGGCGATATTTTACTGCTACGACCGCGTTTATCTAACGTATATGCAATTGAACCAGATCCATTCGAACTAAAACTGTTGCTATTATGATTGTGATTGTTATTGATCGAAGGGAGAGTTGGTTGAATTTCCGGATCGCGACGACGCAAAGACGAAATCCAACGGTTATCGGCTGGATTATTTCCGTTTGCCGTATGTGTTGCGCTTTGTTGCGAGTATCGCGGAATTGGTTGCACTTCTACAAAAGAAAAAGAAAAACAAAGAAAAAACACTTTATTTAGTATGTATACTGTAACAGTGAAACCGAAATGTTAATTAAAAACTGATAAAAATCCAAACACAAATAAAACGTCTGTTACCAATTGAGTATGCCGCAATTTTTTACTTTGGTTTTTTTCCTTTAATTTTAGTTATACAATGTACATTGTACAGCCCTTTCATGAATAAACATAATGAAACGATATTTTGGTGGCATTGTTTTCTTTTTGTTTCTTTAGATCGTTCATTCTTCAAGCGACATCGATGGAATGGGGCAAAATATCGAACAAAAGTGCGTATTTTTAATGACTTAGTGTTTGGTGGAAGAGTGTTGAGCATATAGCGACACGCAAGAAACTCATAGCCAACCATATGGACTGAATTGTGTTGTGGATGGGACCGAAAAGTTTTGTTCGTAAAATGAAACAGCCTGATTAAATCCAGGTGATATTTTTTTCCACTGTAGTTGCGAATTCGAGATTTCAACGTGAATTTCCATAAAAATGTCCCAACAACACATACGGTGCGAGAATAAGATTTATATCCCATGCACCCGAGCACCTTTTTTTCGATTCGATAGAGCAATGACCCAGCCAATCGTAAATTATTCAACACATTTGAAACAAAATGAAGGATTAAAAGCCTTCGTGATTTGGTATGCCATCCAATTTCCATCACATTATGGCTCACGTGAAAAGAAGTTTTCATCGACAACTACGAACGAAGACTACGGCAATTTTTACTTACCGTCCACTTATTGCATAAGGCAACATGTATGTAATGAAACTAAACCAAGAAGAAGGAAAAAACGATTGCGTGGAATATGATTTGTAGTGCAAATCGTTTCCGTTCCCATTTCTCTCCTGCTGTTCAAGCCACACACACACGCAGCTTGAATGTTTAATAATATAATTGTTTCGAAAGTTTTGCAGTGCTTCATTTCAATTTTAATGTGACGTTAAAATGAAATTGGCCATAATTTTAACATTCAACGGAATGCAATGTTTGTTTTCCTAATGTATCCTGGCTCTTTTGGTTTTCATTAGTTTTGTGTGATAAGATTTAAAAATTAAGGACAATACATAAACAAAGCGAAATTACTCTATAAATGATGATAATTTAATAAAAGAGACCGTACCTTGCATGGGAACTTTAATTTTTTGTGATGAAGATTGTCGAAGGCTTCCGTTCATTCCGAGCACCGATGCAACGGATGCATTATTGTTGTTGTTTGCTGTGGAAGTTGCAATGTTGGCCGTTGATTTGGCCAATAATTTCGATGAATTCATGCCGTTGTTGGTTCGCGTTGGCCGATGGGTCGTTGTTATTTTCGTGAATGTGTACGGCGGAAATTCATTTAAAATTAATGAATCCATCATCCGGGCCATATGTTGAAAGCTTGTCGCATTTTGTACATTGCTGTCGAATCATCGTCCCAAAAATATATTGAAAATAGATAAAAAAAGATACGAATCATATTTATTTGCATAAAAATTATTAACAAAAATATTTCATTCATGCTGTTGAATATTTTCAAAAGTCATGTTGTCGAGTAGTTCGATCGCCTCGAAAGTGGGTTATTTTTATAACAATGAATTCAAACTTTGAACACATCAATCAATGTGTTCGCCATACGCACCCCATGCTTAAGTGACGTTCATTTTCACTTTAATCATGTCCTCATTATAGTGCGTGGTTTTTATTGCTTTTTTTTGTGTAAACATATAGTGGAAAGAATTGCTTCAACTTGCGTTGATGTTATAGTGCAAAGACCGACATACATTTCGGTGGTGAGCCGATGGAACCAAAAAAAGCGACCGAACATAATCGAAAAATGCCACAGTGGAATTTGGGTTAAATGCCACACAAAGTAACCAATTCGACAAAATAGTATGTAATTCGTCTCACTGCTGGATTATATCGTATATCAACACGATTTTATCCAGAAATTCGCTGTTTGATATTTGCCATAGAACTGATAAAGCTCTATTATTACTGCCCTGTCGTTCGTCAGAGTGTATACGACTCACGCTATCAAATGAAACAAAATCCAAAAGGTGTCATAAATTTCGAGTGAAAAAACATCGCATTCAAATCAACCTATCCGTTGATATGGTCGCCTTTGTTTCAGACATGAATTATTACATCAGTTTCGTTTTGCCATCATATTTCTGTCTCGCCGACATTTATCGCCGTTGTATTAAACATAAATGAAACATTATTTCGCGAATATAAAATGTGATTTTTGTATATATCAAGACTTTCGAACTTTGGCACAATTTCAAATGCCATACAAAGGTAATAATGGGAAATTACAATTAGAAACTACCCAAGACAGGCCATCGCGTTGAAGCCGGCACACGATTAGAAGTTTTTTTTTCTTCTTCTCTTCTTTTTGTTCCGTATTCGAAAATAATTACAATATTCGGTCAACAAACTTCACAGCAATAAAGATTATATTATCGATATGAAATACAACCAATACAAATGTTTCATTGTTTCATTCTTTACATGAACAAGAAAATGAATGCGTGCGATTTCTATTTGATTTATTACTATCCCATATTTTTAAGTACACGGCAGTTCGGTTGAAATTGGTTTGGTCAACGTCAATGTTTGGCTCACGCAATTAGTATGCACGACTAAAATGCTATCGATTTTATTTCATTTTATTTGATTACTATTTTATTCATTATCCTAACAGGACATTGCACCCAGGGACCGTGGCCGTGCGCTTCAACTATCCTTCTTTATCCGTATCACATACACACACATTCCATTCATCGACACATATTTTACACTTCAAATTTTGATTCAACCATCCTGATAAGTGTTTGTTAGACAAAACATGACCATAAATAGAATGGAAGCGGTGGACGAGGGTTTAATGAACTCCACCAAACCGATTATGTTGTTAAAATAGTTTGCTTTTAAATATTGGACGAAATAGTTGGTCAAACTATTTGCATTTTTTTTTTTTTTTTTCAATTTTGAGAAAGACATTTTTTTCCCTGCACAATTATTTACATTGTTAAGTTTAGAAGAAAATGCGCGTTTTTCAAAGTTTTCAAACAAAATAAACAAAACAAACCATTGATTAAGATTCCACAGTGAATGATATGGTGTGTGTCGAAATGATTGAACCACAGGCACCGACACTTCATATTCAACTTGAACATTATTATTCGTACTCGTTGCCGAGCTAACATTCGAAACGTTTCCGATTCCACCGTCTGGAATTCCGGTTGGAATTCGATTTGTTTGCTGCAACGATGGATTTGATGTTGAAAAACTGCGCAACATTTTATAGTGATGAGGTGTTGGAATCTCCGATATCAAATCAAAATGTTCAATCATTTTTTCATTGCACAACAAAAACCAATAATGTGTTTTTGATTATTTATTCACTGTATTAATTCACTGTTTCTCCCCCCAAAAAAGAGCACTTGTCCAACAATAGTATTTAGTTGCATTCGTTTGGCGTGTGGTGTACTATAACCAATGTACGAATTTCGTGTTGTATAGAAAGTCGAACACCTTAAAGGCACACAAAAATAATAAACCACACGAATGCCACGATGGCTAAGTTTCAACTAAACGAAAAAATGACCGATGGCATAGGAATAAGGCACTTTTTTCTCTATAGCGTCGCCTTGTAGCCAAAGGAAACGAAGCGACAATCAAATAATGTATACGCCGAAACGCGTTTTGTGGTCTTGCGTGTGTTTGTGTGTGTCTGTATTTCGGTAACACTGTGCTTATAAGTGTGCATGGGATTAACATTGGCCATTGCGTCAATAAGAATTGGAATTTGTTGCTTTCATTCTCAATACAAGACTCATAATTACTATTGTAACAGTTTTTGATGTGCCTGTCCAGCTGTTGAAGTGACTAACCAACATGAATATACATAAGGAAAACAGTCGTAATGGTAAAATTATTATTATTATTATTCATGATTTACATTTTTACCAATTATAATTGAATATGATTTTTGTATGCAAATTATATGCTTCAATACAAAATGCTCCAAATTCAATCAAACGTTGCCCAGACACAGATTTTCACACTGGTGGTGACTCCAGAAAAAATGAAGAAAAAACGTAGCAAAATATATTTGATTGGAGAAATGTTCAATTACCTTTCAATGAGTGGCAAAAATGATGTAGTTGAGTCCAACGTGCGAATGGTTTTATTTCCACGAACCACAATTTTCTCCCGAGTTACTCGTCGAATTGTTTCATCGCCATCTCTATTATTGCCGATCCCACTACGCAATTTTGAGCCAAACATTTTCGACTGGAAAAAACAAAACACCGATTTATGTTTCAATTTTAATTTCAATGTGTATCACTTCTTTTCGTTCTTCCAGAACGTTTTCTATTTATTTCAATAGTTCTTAATATCCCTTTTAATCGTAATATTTGGAAAATATATCAAGAGATACATGTTGTTGAAAACGCAGTATTCAGATGAACTGTCAAATTGGCATCGATTCGACTTATATAGAATGGTCGACTTTTTTTCTCAATGAAATCATATGTGCACGATATTTGAAGGTCTATCTACTCTCACACAGTATCAACGTACCTTTGTATGTGTTGCTGTCATGGGGATGCTGTTATTACTGTACCATCGTAAGATTTTACTGTAAAAACATGCGCATCTATGCCAAAATTACGAACAATGTCAACAGTGTTAATATGAATATTTCTTCGTCACAACACGTCACAACAACAGCACAGCCGGCACGAAAATTATTGCACTTTTCAGTTTCAGATTCAGTCAGTCGTGTATAAAGCAACTTTAAACCCGATTTTTTTCGCTAAATTGGTCTGCTTTCTACAATGTCTGGAATGAAACTAAAAACATGACCGGCTGCTTGTTGTATTCTCGCAGAAAATAGAAACTCTCTTTTTTTCCAAAATGTACATCCAGCGCATGAAACACAAGTGAATATAAAATACAATTATGTACGTTTAAAATTCGTTAGAGTTTTTTTGTGTGTCTATTTCGCATATGAATAAATCAACGACCATAGCAAAGAACGGGGAATATTTATTGACCGGAAGATTATAGCCAGACACGGGCAAAATTAAAGGATTCGATGCGGCGTTTTGTTGCTTGTCCAAACAATCAACACGATAATATTTGCACAGTCGGCGTCGTGTAATTTAAATCTTATCAATAATTGTCGACGCTACATTGTCTACCGAAAATGAAGAGGAGAAATTTTGATGTGTTTTAACACACGGAATTTTAATAGAAAACTGATATATGATATTACCAAACATTGAATCGATTTGAATTGAATGGGTGAGACTGACTGAAAGTGCGTGCGAATCAAATCACGGCCCATAATAAAATAACTATAGTTAGAGTGAATTATACAAACACAGCAACGCAACCGCTCGCCTAATAATTGCAATTTATTTCTCTTCAACATTACAAACAAAAACCTCATAATATCTAGAACGAAGAAAAATCCAGATCGGAAAATATATCGGCTTCGACGAATGTTTGACATGTTTTGAGGGAAAAAAATTACCCTGCCATGTTTTATTTTATTTTCACTGCGACCATGTCTCGCTTTATTTATGGCAAAACATATTTCTGTTACCGTGCCGTAGAATTCCGTCTTCATGCACAATTTCTTTTCCATATTGTTTGCATCGACGCGGTGCGCTGGTCAACGACTATTGTTTTTGTTGATAGTATGCAGAAATTTCTTGCATGCATTGCTTTGTTGTGGTCAAACAATATGAAGAAAATGTCTCAAGCATTTTGATGACGAATTGGAGCATTTACACGAAACAAACTTGGAATTTCAATTAGGTATGAAATGGATTGCAGCATTAGTGAGTTCATTGTCACTTATTATTATTATGCAAATATGGTTAAGTGGTCATTTGGTGAAAAGAAATAGAAAATATATGTTTCAGACTTTTTTTACCTACTTCATGAAAATGATGCCATGGTGAAATGGATCCAAATGCATTTTAACATGGAAATAAATAAATAGACCTAAATGGCAATGCATTTTACACATATGTGGCATATGCCAAAGAACGTCAAGGGCATGATTCTGGTTCGAAGACTTTTTCGGTATAATGAATAAAAAATTTATAACTTTTTCAGCCATTTTGATTTGTTTGATTTGCAAAAATAATTGTCGTTAAACGTTAAATACTGGGTTAGTGAATGTGGATCGTACCTGCAGAATTTTGACGATTGATCTCACTACACAGACATGTTAAATGTTGTTCCAATGAATAATTTGAACAAACTTCGGGTAAAAGGCTTTTACAAGTATCAGCGGTCGTGACCATGGTCTCATTGGCCAATTATTTCTACCTTAGTTATTTCACTCTATATCGATATATTAAGTTTATCGCAGTATGTTAAGCTACAAAACTTGACTGTAGTATTGTGGTGTGAAAACTTGAGTGAGGATGATATGGAAATATTGGCCAAGGGTGTAGTGAATCTTAGAGAAATCTGTTTGGCGATGAATTAATACAAATCAAATCTTACCATTCATTCGCCATTCAGCTCAAGTACGAGAAATTAAGGTTCAATGTTTTGATGACGGTATTTATTACGAAAACAATGTTTTGGATTTGTCTGCATTAAATAATGAATGGAAGAATTGACAAAAGCTCGCAAATTGACGATAAAAATTGATGAAGAAACTTTCATGCCAACGAAATTGGCAGTGCCCATTGGGCACACACAAAGGCGAACTAAAGTTTGAGCGGGCAGACGAATTGAAAATCGTCTATCCTCTGATATATTTTACAATAATCTGAATTGAAATACTGGAATCATTTTATTTCATTTCGACGATTCAAACAAAAAACCCAACTAAGGTTTTGCTAAACAAATAAAAATCAAAAATACATTTAAATCTTTTTCAGCCAAATAACATCTATTTATCTAATTTAGATATCCGATGATTCATTTCTTTAGAAATAATTAAATTGTTTCAAAAAAAAAAAAAAAAAAAACAAAATAAAACAATATTTTTTTAAATCATCATTAAAATCCATATTTTTCTCATGTTGGCTTATTTATGTTAGGAAAGTGAATCGAAAGTTAGTTTTATTGTAAAGCAGCATACCAATGGAAAAATGTTACTCCATTGGGTATGTTTTGAATTCTGTAAAAAATGTCAGCCAAAGTTGAATGTCAAACACCCGAACAAAGTTTGGACCACGAGTGTTCGAAAAATGACTTTGGTAAGACGACTTCAGATGGAATTGTGACCGAAAGAATAAAACGATAGCATCAACAAACCTTTTGTGCTGAGAAATCTGCTAAAGAAATATCTGTATGATAATCGAAGTTGAGTGAACTATGATTGCCAGAGCAAAACCTCCAAATGTTCAATATTCTAGCTAGAGAATTCTTCATTGTATGTAATATCATTATTTATCATTAGTGAACTTTATTTACTGTTTCAGAGTTGCACTTCATGTGTGTGATATTCCGAAATGCATATATCATACTTAAAACTAAATTGAATCATACAATCTCACTTGGAACTAAAATATAGTGTATAACAACATAATTTTAAGCCATATTACTCGACCGACAAATTATCATTGATTTTCGACTCATAACATAGAATAATGAAAGAAAAAATTGAAGAAAAAAAAAGTGAAAAGTACGCAAACTAACAAAAAAAAACACTTTAAATTAAATCGATTTTACGGCATAGAACCAAAAAATTTGATGGCAGAGATGCATTAATGCTGAGCTTGCAACTTAAGGCGGTTGATTATTCTATAGTACTCCTCTTCGTGGGCCTAAAATAAATGACGAAAACATTAAATATCATAGGAAAAACATATGAAAATGTGAAGTATTGTATTTACTCACCTCATACTCCTCTTTCAATTGATCGATGCGTTCATCAGTTGATGGAATCGTTGCAGCTGTTGCGGTTACATCGATACCACGCTTTTCCATTTTCTTCAAGTCTTCTTTTTGCTTGTGATGCGGCACATTCAAACGATTCTTCACACACAAACGGTACGCTTTGTATTCGGCTGAATCATTGACATTGGTTGATTTCAATCGCAGGATTTCATACACAATACGACACTGTTTCGGGTTGATCTTGTATTTATTCTTTGCCGCATTGACCATCTCTTTTGTGAAGCCCATTTTCAGCTTTTCGGGTGCAAATTCGGGCAAATCCATACACAGTTTCGCATCGACAAAGTTACGAACGCGACGGAAATCGTCTGATGGATCCTCAACGGTGATGTCAACGACTTTTGGATCACGATTGAACTTATTGTAAATGGTTTCGATGACCTGTGCACCAATGCCCATGCCTTGGAATGGCGGCAAAATCAAACACTGGCTGATACGTGGTCGAATATTTTGTGGATACGCGTAGTATGAATAAACTGTTGAATAACCAACGGTTGCATACTGAACTGAACCATTATTTGACGTGTATTTTTCATAACTAAAACAGAAAACAACACATTGCCATTGTAACATCGAACTGTATAAATGATTGTGTATTCGATAAGATTGAATACTCACACAACAAAGAACATCCATTGTGGATCCGTGATGTCAATATAGCTGGCTGCATCAACGAACCAAAGCAGAAATGTTTGCAAACGAGCATGATAGGCGATAAAACCGGGTGTTTCAATATTGCATTCGAATATTTCAAACGTTCGATGTGTATTGTTCTCCTGTTCGATTTCCCAGCTGAACATTTTCTCACCAAATGGTACAAATGACTCTTCTTTGTCCAATTTTGAGAGAAATTCGTCAATGTTTGTGTAATAGCAGCCCGTTGTTAACAGCTTAGAGATACCGTTGCACACATCGTCACTCTTGAGACCATTACTTTGAATATCTTCAATGCGCGATGTATACTTGATTCCCATGTACATATTCAATGGACCGGCCGTATAGAAGAGACGAATTTTCAAATCTTTGTAACCGAACACGCATTCATTTTCACCGAAAATTTGATGGGCGAACTCAGGATGGAATGAGGTGGCTGTATCGTCATTGATTTCACCGCGATTTCGAACTGAAACAAGTACACACATTGATTTTTTTGTTAGCTCACGAAACACACCATATTATGTCTAGAGATAAATTTCACTTACTCAATTTGAATTCAACACAATCGAGGGCATTACCAAGATATTGTTTCATTTCGTTTTGATTGAGAAACGACATGGCTGAAAAAAGCAATACAAAAAACAATTAACAACACAATAAATAAAGGCAGACCGTTTCAATTTCGATATAACACCGAATGCGATTGTACAAAAAGGCGCCAAATAATGACTTTCTATCTAACCTAGCTTTCAACACACAATAAACGGCAATTTCTGTTCAAAAACCAATAAATTCGCGAAATCACAGGTCATGATTTTGATTTAAAGGAGTTTAATTGAACACTTACCGCCACCAAATATTTGAACAGCTCAATTTTATCAACTAAATTTCGGAAGAAAAACGCAGCACACAAAGCGTCATTAAAACGCAAAACAATTGTTTGTGATGTATATATAATTCGCAGTGTCAAAAATAACATCGCTACGACAAGCTATCATTGGGTTATTCACCATTGAACCATCTGTCTGTGTGCACACATGCTTAAGTGTATGTGCGTCTGCATATGTATTCGTTTAAATGAACACATTCCATATCTATATTCACCAAACGTGCACAATCAACATCTGTGGTGGAATATCATGCGATTCGCATTGAACATGAATAGCAGCGTTTCACCAATCGTCATTTTTTGTTCATTGGGGTGCTTCCGTTGATATCTTGTGTTTGTTTTAATTGTTTCTATTTTTATACATCATTTTCAATACTTTCAAGTTGGCAACGATTCGATATCAAAACTTTTGAATAATAGAAAATGCCAGATTTCTCCTTGAAATGATTTTTGCAATACAAATGTAATGTAAAATTATATCTCCTTCGTGTGAAAAAAAAACAAAATCCTTTTTTTGTATGGCTATATTTTTTTATTAAAAGAATTGTTTTCTCAGTCACTTTTTAAGTGAATCAAATGATTTAGAAAGAAATTAACATATATTTAATTATGCAAAAACTTAAATCTAAAAAAACACCGGAGCTAACTATATCAACAACGAAAGAAAAAAACAAAGAAAATATTAGTGAAAAAAAATACTAAACTTCGATTGATATCAATCTTGTTTTGACTCTTGTAAACTGTTCATTAATAGTTTCTGGTTTTCTTATCGATATTGACTTCATAATTAGCTCTCTTAATACAAATTCTACATAAATCGCACCAAATGACATCCATTGTATGGTCACCATGAATCTCTATTCTTAAACGACACGAAGTTCAATGTTCATAAATTCATATTTCGGATTTTCTAAATTCTTTTCAAAATCCATTCAACGTCACTTACTTATAATAATTCTTTGATTACTTCATCAAACAATAAGATTGTACTTGTTTGGATATTTGTTGATTGTAGCGTTCCGGTCTCAAATGTACATTTAATATATGTATAAGGTTTTGTTAAAAAATCATTGTGAAAGGCGAATTCGGTTTAAATGTATGCGCTACAATCAAAAAATGTGTCCAAACGGGTTTTTTCATGGCTCTCGAATAAATGATAAAAAAATGTGTTAATTACGTAACGAAATAATAATCAATTTTATGAAGAAATCAACAATTTAAATGACTGATGATTCGCGTCTTCGATGCACGGCACTCAATTTGTTGGCCATCATATCGGTTGATTTCCAAAAACTTTCTTCGTCTTTTTTATTGATTGGTGTCTCTGGTATGGTAAGTGCTTTTTTAGCTTGTCGTAAACCCATTCTGCTGGCTGCTTCGAAGCAGGCACGTGCTGCATCACGATTTTTCTTAAGACCACCACGTCCATGAACATAGAACACACCCAAATTATACATGGCCGTTTTGTGTCCCAGACTGGCAGCAGCACGATAACATTCCATGGCATTTTTCATGCTCTTCTCCACACCGACTCCCAACTCATAGCATACGCCTAAATTGAATGTCGCTTCCGGATGACGATGTGTGGTGGCCAATTTTAAGTGTGATACAGCTGCTTCTGGTTCTTCTGCTCGAAGATTTTGCATGCCCAATTGGAATTCAATGCTGCCAAGCGTTGCAATCAAATCGTCAACAGCACGGTTTAGATTGATTTTCTAAATGGTTGAGCATAAACAAAGAGAAAAAACCTCATTTAAAAACCTTCAAAGATGAAAAGAAATGAATCATTTCTTAACTTACGTCATCAACTGTTTGTGTAGCTGATGTTAATTTGTCGGTGTTGAATAGTTCAATTTGATTTGAATGGTCATTTGTTACAAATGTCAGTGGCATAAATGACTGAAATTGACGCATTTGTTTTGCATCATACCAATGCTTTTCATCGTTGGAGGGTACAAAACTCCGTTGATAAATCGATTTACTTTCGATGGCCTGTCGAAGTGATCGTTCTGTAAGCAGTTCCTCAATGTGTGTCCATCGCTTCAAATTTGCTCGTTTACGCGAATACAGGCATATCATCTGACTAAAATACAAGCTGGTAAGAAGTCCGGCCGTCTGAAAAATGATGTCCAAAATATTCAATATTCGAATGTGAACGAATTTTGTTTTCAAATACATACCCATTGTATAAGATTGAAGTCTTTCAATGCATCGAACGAGCTTTGCTGTTGTTGTCGTTTCTTCTGTTTTTGGTAACATTTCTGGATTACGTGTGGCGTATCGATGTCAAATGGATTCTTTTTATTGTCGATGGGGCCCTCGAGGCATGTCCAAACATTGTAAATACGTCCATTTTTCCTTGTTCCAGACAATACTCGTAGACGATTTACTGGCTTTCCATCGTCACAATTATTATTGGACGTACTATCTGGTATTGTTTTGTTATTGAACGTACTGAATGTACTGCGCAAATTCTTTAGGTGTGAACATAGTTCGACACTATCTTTTATACTTTGACCAACATACTTCCACATTACTGTCACTGTATCCAACTAGTTCTTTGCAAATCAAACAAATGAATGATTAAATTTCGATCAACACTCAAAAATGTTTCCGTTTTTGTTTTTAGGAAAAACACCTTCCGTCAAGAAACGAGACGTGAATCGTAAAAAAATATGTCGGACGATTGACATTTCATGTACGGTGGCTCTGTGCTCACCTTGATGGTGAATGAAAAATGTCGTGGTGAATATTTGTGCGTTGACAGTTCATCTATCTCAGTGTAGCCGCATAATTGACAGTTCGATTTTGTATCATTTTATTTATTTTTGGCATCGTACACAGTGTGAACATATAATACTATTTTTTCGTTCGTAATTTGAAGCTATACGACATATTCGACTTTTCACACGATACAAATTCGATACACAAATATGAAACTCAACTCACTGGACGATTCAGGTAAAGCAAAAAAATAAACAAAACAAAACAACCTTTCCAAGTTTGGTATCCTTTAGAAATATTTTATGCAGTTCGTTAACTATTTTGTTGCAGGTTCTGGATCAGAATCTGAATCTCGAAGCGTTACACCAATTCATTCTGGGGATGATGCAGCCGATGGTGGAAATCGTTCTCCGTGAGTGATTTTTTCTGTCCATTTTGAGGTTATGTTGATGTTAAATCACTGAATTTTTATCCATTTTTTCCAGATCGGCCACATCATCTCGTAGTCCAAGTAGGTCGCGAAGTGGCTCTCGCAGCCGATCACCTTCAAAAAGTCGATCACCTTCTAAAAGTCGATCACCTTCCAAAAGTCGATCACCTTCAAAAAGTCGAACACCTTCAAAAAGTCGAACACCAACACCAGACGGTTCACACAAATCACGAAGCCGCAGTCGAAGTGGGTCAAATCGAAGCCACAGCGGCTCACGTCACAGCGGCTCACATCACAGCAAAAGTAGAAGTCGTAGCCGAAGTGTTTCGGAACATTCAAATCGTTCAGCTTCACAAAAGTCTGGCAGTCGCAGTCGCAGTGCATCGGCCGAATCAGACGTGGGCGGTGAAAAGCGAAAACGTCAAATATTAAGCGATTCGGGCAGTGAGACTGAAAAAAAAGTTCCCAAGAAGAAGAAATCGGCTTTGATTGATTCGGACAGCGAGCCAGAAGAACAACCAATGGCCGAACAAAATGAGGATTTTGACGCAGCTGAAATATTTGTAAGTTTGTTATCTCTGGATAATAAATTGTTTGTATGTTTTCACATGATTGCTTATCATCTAGGGTGATGCCGACGACATAAGTACCGATGGTGAAGAGGCAAGAATAAGAGGTGAAATGTCTGGTGATGATGATGTTCGACGTGGAAGTGACCATGAAGATGATGTAAAACGCGGTAGGGATTCCGACAGGAGAAGTTCGGTTAGTGGCGACGAACGACGAAGTGATGATGAAAATCAAAATGAAAAAGAGCCGGAACCCGAGCCCATACCAGAACGTCGTATCGATGTTGAAATTCCGCGAATTGTGTCCGATTTGGGCAAAGATGTTCATTTCGTCAAATTACCAAATTTCTTGTCCGTTGAAACGCGTCCATTCGACCCGATAACATATGAAGATGAAATTGACGAAGAGGAAGCGACGGACGAAGAAGGTCGACAAAGGTACATTTTGACACATTTTTTTACAGTTTGTTATTACAAATTAAGACTTTTTTTTATTGTCACTCGATAGAATCAAATTGAAAGTGAGTAACACAATACGATGGCGCGAATATTTGGATGATTTTGGAAACCCAATCAAAGAATCAAATGCACGTATGGTAAAATGGTCAGATGGTTCGATGAGCTTACATTTGGGCAATGAAATTTTCGATGTGTATAAACAACCAGTACAAGGTGATCACAATCATTTGTTCATTCGACAAGGTACTGGTTTACAGGGTCAAGCTGTATTCCGAACAAAACTCACATTCCGACCGTACTCAACCGAATCGTTTACACACAAAAAGATGACAATGTCATTGGCGGATCGATCGCAAAAAACGTCTGGCATCAAAATTCTTACACAAGTTGGCTTCGATCCAGATGCAGATCGGTATGCTAAATTAAAGAAAGAAGAAGAACAATTGCGTGCGGCGATGAGACAAAAAACCACACAAACCAAACAGAAGCGACGCGAAACAGCTGCCAATATCAATAATTATCGCGAAGAACACGATTCGGATGATGAAGGGGCCATTTCAATTGCTGCTATTAAGAACAAATACACTGGCGGTAAAGGTGGTCCAAGCGGTGCGAAACAAGGTTAGTATATTCAATTGTTTTAATTGTGTGTGAGTGATTAACGCGTTGTTTTCGTTACTATTTTAAAGGAACCGGTATTTACTCATCGGACGAAGAAGACTCAGATATCGATACGCGACGCAAAAAGAAATCGGATAAATCCAAAGCATTGCGACAACTTGCCGACTCGGATGAAGAAAGCGGTTCGAATCACGATGAAGTTGGCAGCGGCAATGAATCAAATACAGGCAGTGGCACCGCAACTGGTTCCGGATCTGCTTCCGAAAATTCTGATTAGGATTGAATTTCACTCAATTGTATTATTTAAGGTTATTAGATACCATTTTTTGACATGCTCTCAATAAAGTTTAAAAAAAAAATAAACCCACACTTTTTGTTTCTTCTTTATAAATTTATTTATTTTGCACTTATTACTTGACTTATTATATCAAAAGTATAAATTCAACGGTTTTATATGTACGTATAAAATATATATATCTACATTTGTGTGATAACCGCTCCAAAAGTCGTTGTGAGCAGTAAATGATCAGGAAGAGTCTTTTCTGGGATGTGAAAAAGTTTGCGAAAAAAAATCAATTTTTTAATTCCAAAGTGATTAATAAGTGGTTTGTATGTTTATTGAATTTCTATTTTGATTTTCGTGTTTTTGTTTAAATGGTTGGTAATTGGTTTAAGGCAACGCTACTCTATGTTTGCTCGTTATTATCGTCATTAATTTGTATAAATATTCTTCTAAATATTTCCTCAATTATACACGCACATGTGTTTTTCTTTTTTCCTAAAAATTGTGCGATTCAATAAATATTGACAAATTGCTAACTGCTAAGAAAATGGGTCACCTTCGAATTGATTCGGCGTCAAATAATAAGTACTGATCAATCATTTGAATACCTAATCAAAATATGTATGAACTTGCTCTGATCTTGCTCTTAATTTTTCATTACAACGTACATTCTGTTTATGGAAATCTGTGCCAGACATTCTATTGAGATATTTTCAGCCAGATGAATCAGCTCAACCAGATATCGTCAGGAGCTGAAATGGAGTGAAAACAATAAAAGTGATTGTTATAGTAATTGTAGCATTGTAAGTGTTGCTATAACCAAAACAATCACTTCTATTATTTTCACTCCATTTCAGCTCCTGACGATATCTGGCTGAAATTATCTCAATATAATGTCTGATCTGTTCAAATCGAATTTCGCAAATATTGCAAAAACAAAGTATTGTATTCACTTCCAAACATGTTTGTTTACTCGACAAAAAGAAAAGAAAAAAATAACAATAAGTAACTAAATAAAAAGAGATGGTGTAGCATCTAATGAGGAAATGTGATTAATAAATTGTGATAGCATAAATGTTCATTATTCCCCTACTTTGTATTATATCATTTGAACGAAGTATTTTTCGAAGATAAAAATAATGATAAAATTGTGTTATGCGACTGCATTGCTAGATGCAAAAAAATAACAAAATTCTGAATAAAATAATATTTAAATCTAGCAGAAAAAAAAACATCGTATTTAAACTAATTGAAAATAATGGATTCATGTTATTATTGAATGTGAACGCATTCCGGAGATCTGCAACCGATTCAGCAAGCCTGAAATAAAAAGAAAGCACAACGTTAGACATCATATATGTAAGAAAGAGACCAAATACCAAAAGATTGATAGATATCAGACAGCTGAGCTAACTATGACTAGCCTATGAGGCGAATGAGCTAGTTTGTCGCAACAATATAAGATAGCGCCCCAAAATGTGGTATTTTTAATTCAATTTTGGTAGATTTAATATAAAATCAACCAACAACGAATTAAATTTACCATTTTTGACATCTCTGAGGCATATTTTTCAAAAGAGACTATTAGTTGAATAAGTTTTACCAATTGAATTAAAAATACCACATTTTTTTCTTTCTGTGTAAGGAGCAACAAACAATGAGCTCCATTCGTAACAATAAATTTTAGCCCATTTAGCTGACTAACATACTGTCAGCTCAGCTGACCAGTTAGTTCAATATATTGTCTGATAGATATACCTGAATTCTGAGTGAGTTCATATCGTAGCCTCCTTTGCTTTGCATTTGACTTTGAATTGCATTCATGTGATTGGGAGTGAGTTCAGTATCGTTCGACCCTATATGACCTGCGTAATACAAATAAAGCATTTGTTATTGTTTTTTTTTTTTTCAAATGATTTAGTTTGCTCATCTCCACCACATTACATACCGGTATGCACAAAATTCGTGGGATTTCCGATCATCGATCGATCTATTCTCATGCGCTGGTGACGTTGACGTCGTCTTGTCGGGCTTTGTGGCTGATGAAAACAGCATGAAAACCATTGTACCCAAATGTCACCGGTGCTTGCCATTTCTTTAGATTTCATTCAAGTATCAATTCGAAAGTGTAAAACGTTGTTTCTGAAATTGCAAAAAAAAAGAAAAGAAAATGTAATTAGTATTTATGGCAAATTAATGATAGACATATGAATGATTTCTATATGTTTTAATTGAATTAGCGTGCATATAATATGCTTGTGCGTCATCGTTTCTGTAGCCAAATCGGTTATTATATATCCAATTTCAATAGCAAACCGAATGACTTCATTTTAATTTTCTCTCCAACCAAATCGGTCGTACTGTTCATTCGTTGTCATCGCTTTCCTCATGCTATAACATAATTGATCAATAAATACCGCACAAGATAGCCTATCAACAGGTAGATAATCAATGTGATGCGTGCACAATCATTGGTACGCATTTATGGATACAATCATTAACCATATTTGTCGTTTTATTTTTTCTCTTCCGTCTTCCGATACGAAAATTATCATGCATTTGCATATTTCGACACGATTTTTACATTAAGTCGTAATCTACGCACATCCAATGTTTAAAATGTCATTTTGAAAAATGATAAATATCAACATGAGTGAAAAACGGTAAATACATTAAATAACCAATATTCTCACGCACCTGTCGGCTTGTGTTAAATTGGAATAATTGCCACGGTGACAGGTAGGAGCATTGCGATGACAAAGTATGCCTTTCGCATTTTGGAATGTGCGTCTTTCTCTTGAAATTGTTTTTCATCAGTTCAAAGCATAAAAAAAAAGTCTGGTGTAAAATCACCGTCAATCAAAGTAGAAAAATGTTTATAATCGCTCATTGAACCATTGAATTATCTGTGATCTGTGTGCATTGTTGGCAACCGGAACTATTTTATCGAGTAGAAATTTGATATTTTTTTTTGTCTCGGTAGAAAAATCGAGTTTTGTTTCTTTCCCAATCAATAAAATGCTTTCATCAAATGACACGTGCGCTTCGACTGCAATCATCGTCTTTGGTTCCGTCATTAAATCATTTAATTCAAAAATACAAGGAATAAACACACATCGTTTCGTTGCAATGCAATTCGATCAACAAAACGTCTGCATTTCACTTTTCATTCATGATTTATTAATACAGATTATCTGTTCTCGTTGAATGCACGAATTTCCGCGATGTAATCGCGAAAAGGAAAGAATTATTAATGAAAAATTGTACATATTAAAATATACGGCAAAAATTCATTGATTCCATGATGAAAACAAACAAAAAAGAAAGAAATTATCGCGTCCATGCAGTGTCGATAACGTCGATTTATGTTTTATCAACATTCAACAACCAAAAAAAAAACATAAACACATAAATTATTTCTTGTTTCATTCATATGTTTACTGTATAAAAATGAAATGTTTTCATTGAATTAAAAATATGTAAAAGCCGATTAACAGTTGCAGACGTTCCGGTCTACTACAGAGCACCACGAAATCAATTAGCCGCAGAGAAAAATGTGTGCGTTACAATAAGGGAAGACAACACCAAAAAAAGAGAGCGAGCGAGAGAGAGAGAGAGCTGGTGAAAGAGAATTACTCGTCCTAAACTCCAGTGATTACGGCATTTGCATAAGTAATTACGGACTTTTATAATACAGACCTTATGCAGTGTTTATCGCAATTTCTGTGGTTTTCACTGTTATTCATATTTACTATGGACGCATATGGAAAGCAAGTTTGATTTAAGTTTTAAGCATTTCCAAATTCTTTCTACTTTATAGCCTTTCTTTCTATCATCGTTAAATTCAATTTTGTCTCAAAGTACTTTTTCACTTTGAACTGTGCTCATAACGGCTTTTGTCCTTCTAATGATGTAAGAAACAGTTGATTGCTAAAACAAAAGTGATGACGATCCATCGTCGGATTCTCAGTTTTGTGTTTTACACGGTTTTTAATGGCATAAAGTGTAAAGACACGTTTTTCAATTTACTCGAAAAAATAACGCCAGTCTTTAACAACGAAAAAAAGTATCCGTTTACAAAAAAACGTAAGATTTTTTGCAAGTCAATAAAAAAAACTTGAATTTCATCATCATATAAATAAATCTTGTCAACAAAAAAAAATAATTGAGATAATCGAATTAGAACTGACCATAACGCTTGTTCATGCCAATTATAGACTTTGGAATTATTTTTACAACTGGTTTTTGTGTTTGATCAAAATAGAATCGAAGCAATGGATTAAGTAAAACTGTTGTTTCTGTTTTCTTTTTCTGTCTTTTACATAATAATTGTTTCTTCTGTTCAATGAATTAAGACAAATCAATGTCGAATTATTAGAACACATTTTGTCTTTGCGATAAGTTCAATGGCAGTATGCCAGAGGACAATGAACTAATGTCATTTAAGAAAAAAATAATCTGCACACAAACGTTTAATTACGTATATACCCAATTCAATACATGAACAATGAGTGACCTTATCATTTGAATTGACTTGAAATGTGGTTTGGAAATTGCGTTAATTCCATTGAATCGCAGCCATTCGTTTAACATTGATATTGTATCACAATCGACGATGGCGGCGGCGAAAACAGCAACATGAAATGATCAATTGTTGTTTCATTTTTAGACTATACACTGCAGTAATCAAAACAAACGGATAAAGCAATCTACTCCATCCGAAGTGCTTTTTTCTAAAAAAAAACTTTGTTTTCTATTTGAGTGTGAACAATAGTATGCAACGTTGTACGTACAGTGACAATGAGCAATAGAAATCGAAAAAGCAAGCGATTAAACAACATACATCATATGCATACGAACGCATTGTTTACTTTCTATCGATGGAACGTTTATAATGTATCCAGTCCCCCTCGCATGTAATTTTGAATTCTTTGTTGAAACGATTCATTTTCAGTGTTTTCGCCGCTAATTTATATTTGTCTAACAACTTCGGTTCGGTGTAATAAATAATTCATGGATTTATAAAAAAAGGGGCATTATACATACAAAAACCAATTTGGGCATAAATCATTTAATAGAGTCTAACAGCATCAATGCTTGAGCACTCTTTGAGCTTGTGTGTGTGTATGCGCGTTCTTGGCATTAAACACTTCGAAAGAAACGAAACGTCTGTTGATCGTTAATCGCAGTTCTCCTCATATTGCAATATGCATATACATCGATTGAGTTTTTTTGCAGATTTTTTACCCGACGATCATAGCTAATAATTTAAGGTGTTTATCTGTTGCTCAATACTGAAAACGAAAATAAACACATTCAAACAAACAATATGCAAATCAATGTGCGATCGTGAATATAGATTTTGATGTTTACATTGCAGAGGGAGTGTGGCTTAGAATTTACACAGTCCAAAAAAACACACACTTCGTATTTTAGTAGCATCGATAATATTGGCGTGAATGTGGTGCGAACGTAAGGCCTGAGGTTAGGCTTGATTGAGATAATCAACGATCCAGTCCTTTCGAATTTGCCAGCACAACCTTTTTCAAATTGTTATTGACTCTTGTTGTACATTATTTCGACAACTCGAAAGTCATTTCAATTAATTTAGCCACACAAGAGTGCATTTCAGTCTTGAATTTAGTTAGTCGATGTTCAATTCAAGACAACATATTTCCTTTTACATTTCATTAGCGGTGCAATTTTCTGAATTCTCTTGTCGATTCTATGACCATAAAAGTCTGTTCGATTGCGATATATGGTACATGTTTTGTTCTGTGCGAATGCAGACCAAAATGTCGAATTCAATTGAGCTGAAACAAAAACCACCAATCTGGAAATGTTATACGATGTTCAATGAATGGCAACATTGATCGTTGTTGTTCTTGGTTTTTTTTTCATCACCATTTTTTTGCCAAATACAAAGTGTAATTTAGCCAAAAGGTCAAAACGTATGTGTCATATTGCATCCGAAAAAAAACCATTAACAAAAATCAAACAAAACATGTATAGCACTTTATAAATGATCGAATTTCCCATTGCTATTCGTAATTTTAATATTGACTTTCAAGAACGTTTTAAGATTGATTTAAAAACTTTTCGCCCGCAGCTCAAAACGCTTAGAAATTTAAAGCGTTTATTGTGAAAGACGTAAAATCCATTTTTTGTTCCAGCCTCGATTTCTCGGCAGCTTAAAGAGTGTGTGTGTATGGAATCGGTTGGTATTGACGCCAAAATGCGTTGAGCGGACATTGACAAATGATTTATGAAATCTTAAATCTTTCAACTTTTCAAATAATGAACAAAGAACCAGTTAATTCTTTACGAGCACTATGTACGCCAAAAACTTAATTACGTCAAAGAATCATATTTAAGTCGCTCAACTATATGCTTACACAAAAAACAAATGGTTATGCAAGAGTATGTATTTTCGTTCCATCGTGTGTACTGAAGACACCAAAATGATTACCAGATTGCGTCGATGTTTCAAGGAAGTCGTTTCAATTTTATGGCATGACAACCGAATATTTATCATCCAAATTCAATTATATGTATTTAATAAGTTGCAAGCGATTTCATGTCATTTCACGGAATTACGCAAAAATTTGATACAAATTATGTGGACCGATGTCGAAGCAAATAAACAACAAAAATAAACCAAAAAAAAGAGAGAAAACAAGTTTGAATCGTGCAATCCCAAACGGAAATACTGACACCAGACAAAAATAAAACATAACTATCGGGCGAACGAAACAAAAAAATTACGTATAATTGAACAAATCGGATTTGTACGCCACACACTTAAATAGATCTGTCAGAGCTCTTGAGCAAGGCAATATGCTCCATATTGAGTTCAGCATGCGACTGCCGACTATATTGTTACAACAGATATAATTTATATCGAACGGAATTGTGATTTATTCAAATTAATTCCGAAGCACATATCAAGCCCCGAAGTGATTTCTCCATAATTTATTGCTTTCGGTTACGCTCTTTTTTTTCTCTTTCTTTTGTCTTAGCGCATATAAAAAGTTTTAGTTTGCAACTGTTTATTTTTTTTTCTTCATAAGCGATGTTTTGTTTGTCTTTCATTTAAAATCGAAGTTTTCAGACATTCAACTGAAATCGAAATTCGCGCATCC